GGTCCTTGCTCTTGTTGAACACCTCCTCCATGTTGAGCGGTGCTGGGGGTCCGAAAATGTGCAGAGGATCCAAAGTCTCCTGTCGTGACAATGCACGTCTCAACTCGGGCGAGTCTGCCCATGGTGCAACCCCGATATGTGCATCGTCCTCATCATCCTCATCATCGGTCTGGATCTCTGGCAGCTCAATAGCATCGCCATTCTGGAAGCGAGGTGATGACTTCGCAGCTGATTTCGCCGCTGACTTGCCGAGAGCAGCACCAACTGGTCGAGCGGGTGTCTTGTGTGCAGCCACAGCGCTGGGATTTGGCGCAAATGGGATGGCCGACTTGGAAACCTGTGCCATATCCAGAGGATGAGCAGCCTTGGCCTGACTGTTATGCTGGGCAGTGACAGTGGCCTTGAACAGATCCCGAGTAGCACCCTGAGGGGGGTTGGCGTAGCTACTCTGGTAGACGGATTTGTTTGGCATATCCTGGATGACTCGTTAATATTACACCACATCAGGGGATGGCAAATGTAACTGACCTTCTTCAAGCCACCAGAGGGTCGAACAGGTGGCCCTTTGATAATGGAGTGGCTAGACTGAATCTCCATCTCATCATCTTCATCAAACTCGTCTGTCATCCGCATACGCTTGACTTCTTTCTGATAAGATGGTCCACTTCGAGCTACTGCAGGTCTTGCGTTACCATCATCGTTCCCATCTTGAGGGAAAGGTCGCTTTGACTGAGTTTTAGCAGCAGTGTTGCTCAAGACGGCATTGACAGGACGGCTCGTCTCCTCTTGAGGACGGTGCATGGTAGACTGCAGACGGGATGGTGGGCGCGAAGAGCCTTGCTGGGCAGTATACTCGGGTGGCCCATTGGGTTGAGATCGCGCAGCTGGAGGCGGAGCTCTCGTGTGCTTTGCCTTCTCGATCGCAGCCTGTCTCTGTGCAGTCTTCTTCGCTTCGGCATCCATGGCGGCCTGTTCACGCTCTTTTTGTCTTTGCCTCTCTGCTTCCTGTCGCCGTTGCTGGTCCTGTCTTCGTTCTTCTTCCTGCATGGCGGCGCGCTTGCGCTCCATTTCTGCCTTGGCCTCGCGCTTCCGCTGAGCTTCACGCTCCTCTTCCGCTTTTCTCTTGGCTGCCATCTCAAGAGCCTTGGGCCGACCAGACGATGAAACAGAGCTTTTGAGACTTTGCAAAGAAGGCTTGGCGTGCAAGGACTGCTGACTCGCCTTGCTCTTGAGTTGATGCTGAGGACCACTGAGTGTGTCCTGAAGCGTAGCAGCCAGAACGCTATTGGAAGGGTGAAAGCCTGAATGCTGAGACGATGTGTTCACGCGGATGAGTGTAGGGGCTTGCTTTGGCTTGCTCAGCGGCTCTTTACTTGGCTTGGTCGGCCTCTTCAACTCTCGGCTCTTTGTGCCTTGAGTGCCGGCAGCAGACCGGGGAACTGATGGAGGAGGCATAGTTGACGGTGCGTCTACCATCTCAACTTCATTTTCAGCAGATTGCGCCTCAGCGGCAGCTTTAGCTTCTGCCTCCATCTGGGCCTTGGCCTTGCGAGGACTTGTGCGAGTCGGCTTGGGGGCTTCCTTCATAGGTGAAGAAGGGGCAGTTTTTTCTTGCTCCTTTTGTGCAGCCATCTGCTTCTCCATAGCTGCCACCCGTTCTTGCTCCTTGCTGAAAACGCGAGCTTTCTCTCGCTCCTTTTCACGGGCCTTTTCTAGCTTGTCCATCTGATCCGCCAAGCGTTGTGCTTCCTTCGTCTCCTTGTCTTTCTGCTTCTGTTCACGTCGTTCCCTCTCTGCTGACGCTCGAGTCTTCCTCGGGCGCGATGGGCTTGAAGGCCCTGCTAAATTCTGAGTGTCCACAGACGCTTGTTGTGTAAGGTCAGGGTAAAGAGACTCTGCATCCTTTCCAGCTTGTAGCGATTCAACTGAGGCGCCAGGGTGAACTCCCAGTCTCGTTGTTGATGGTGATAGAAGAGAGAATTTTCCCTCCGCACTAATTGCAGCGCTACTTGCTAGAAGACGGTTTGAGCTCTTCAGGATCGATGATAACTTGTTCTTAACCTGTTTCAACGGACCGTCTCTGAAGTTGCGCGAGGGCGACTTAGGGGTTCCAGGTCGGCTGTTCTCAGCAACCGTTGCGAGCGTGGGATTTGACACTGATATTGCCTTTCTCAGGCTGGCGCTGTCATCATCTGATTCATTGCTATAATGAGGAAATGCAGGAACAGAGGACGACTTGGTGTGTCCTGGAGCAGAAGTCGTCCTGTCGGGGATGGCAGGTGGCCTGCGAGGAGACTGTGGTCGGCTATCGGGTTGCCGCTGCTTGGGCAGCACGAAGTCCGAGCCACTGACTGTGTCCTTCCCGTGAAGACCTTCCATCACATCAGTCGAGTAGCTCTTGGAAATAGCAGGACGAGGGCTTGCATTTGCAAGGGTCTTTTGCGTTGTTGTCGGTGGCGCAATCCAGTCATCATCATCGTCGTCCTCAGGGAAGGCTCCGGGGGTAGCAACAGCTTGATCTTTCTTTGGTGACGACAATGGTTGCTCCTCGACTGGCAACTCACGCTGCTCTGGCGCCGACGGATTGGATACAATTGGGTCTTTCTGTGAAGCGGCCAAATTTGGTATCGACTTTGACGGTCTGGGCCCATTGGATTGTGATTTTCCGAGCATGCTGATTTGATCCTGCAGTCTTTGAGTATAAGTCTTATTGTGTGCTGCGATAGTAGTCGCCCTCTTCTCTTGATTCTGTATCGTAACATCGTCATCAACATCCATCTCGTCATGATCATCATCGCTCTGCTGACGGACATGACCTAGACTCTTTCCACCTGTGGGTCGATTATAGTAGCTGGTGCGGGTTTGTTCGAGATGGCTCGTCCTTGACATCCGAGCCCCAAGACTCTTATTCGATGCCAGAGGCTCTCGTGCAGGAAGCGAAGCAAAGTTAAGGCTGCTTTTCCGAACAATTGGCCGTATTGGGCTTGATCCATCTGATGGGGATCGTGTCTCCTCGTCATGATCCTCGTCTTCGTCAACAGCCATATCAATGTTGGAATTAATAACATCAGTAGCTGGGGTTGCCGATGGTACAGCAACTTTTGCAGGGGATGACTTTTGTGGCGATGACCTTGCAGGTGATGTCTTGGCTGGTGAAGATTGTTCGTGAACTGGAGAAGGTGACCTGATAGCCGCATGTTTGGTTGTAAGTTGCGGTGACACGACTTTCGTGGTCTTCGTCTGCTCTTCTTTAGCGGACTGGAAGGTATCCTCGAAAGACTGCCGAGTCTGTGTCGGAGTAGGATGAGTCGCTGGTTGTGCAATCGCTGATAGTTTCTGTACATAAACCTGCGGCAATTTTGCAGGACTGGGAGGTAGGGGAAATTCCATCACCTCCGTTGGATCGTCAACATCCATAACATCGTCCTGATTTTGGCTTCCATGGTAACCCGAGTCGGTGACGGGTACCGGCTCCGGCTGCTGAGGTTTCTGAAAAGCGACGCTCTTAGCCGGGCTAGCAGTCCTATCTTCAGCAATTCTGAGTTTCGGTGTAAGAGCCTGTTTCAGGTTCGATATGGCGAAGGGATTCGGCGCGCCCTTGGGAGTCGCAGAGAAGATATCTGAGAGAGGCTATATAAATCAAGTCAGCAAAGGACGCATACCAACGCGCTCTACATGGAGTCTTACCGCTCGCGTCTCCCCCGGATTGACCTTTCGTGCAGTTCGTGGTGTTCTACCTCGTAGCTTTCCTGGTGTTTTGAATATCTCCGCGACATTGCTATAGATATCATTAGTGATCGCGTCGAGGGCTCCATTTACGAAGTATCGTACATCTGGTTCTCGGAGAAGATCTCCGCCATGTGTTCATTGAGCCAGTCGATCTCGTTCCTCGCGGAGAAGCTGAACTCTTCGACCTCAGAGCAGGCAATCTGGAGCGCGGACGACCTCTCCTCTGCAACCCAAGCGGCAGACCCCACGGGCTGACGCGGTCCAGGTCGCATCGCCATTGTTGTTTACAAGTAGGAAACCTCAGTGATGAACAATGAAGCAATTTAGTAAAAGACACTTTTTCAATGAAGCATGACTGAAGTTGGGGAAGTATGCCGGAACAGACGATCGTAGGGGTGCGCTGCTGGCCAAGGTACTTTGGTGGTTGAATGCTGTGAGGTGTGCCAGGTTCGGAGCTATGCCAGGCGTGTTTACTTAGGGCGAGTGCTCTTGCTCTTTTAGCTTTGTTTTGATTTGGATATTCCGGCCAATCACGTCGCTCCATCGCTGTACAGTCCCGGCCCTTGAAGCGCGGGGCGCCGTCGACCCACCTAATGCACGGAGCTCGGATGCCCATAAGTGACCTCACCGCAGCCGTCACGCTGTATCCATAGTTTTTAGAGCAAGATGAAGTAGGTACGTTTCCCAGGACAATCCTCATAAAATAAAATCAGTCGCTTCAACAATTCGATCTACGATTCTACCGAAAGCAACGTCAGCAGTGGTGTTTCTCACACATCAAGAAATCCAATCTAAGGCTCAAACTCATGATCGCTTGTTTAAATTGCTCGTAGTCTATGTGTTTTGCACTCCCATGCCTATACACTAATTCCTGACTGCTCACTTCCATGCATTCAACCCAGCCCAGGGATCCGCCTGACCTTGTTGAGTGTGCTGTTGAGAAGAGCCAGGCCGCTGTGGTTGTTGCTGTTGCTGAGACCCATAGCCAAAGCCTCCAGCGCCGTAATGATATGTCTGCTGTGGGCCTAGCGGAGGAGGTCCTGGAGGTGGCGGAGGTGGCACGAAACCTGGTGGCACATATGTTTGTGGTGTCGTTGCTGCTTGCGGATTGCCATAGGTGCTATAAGGTCTACCTGGCGGGGCAAAGGATGTCTGTGTAGGCGGAGGAGAGGCCGGCCCAGGTCGGAAGCCGGTGTTGCCAAAAGATGTCTGATTTGGTGGTGGGGAAGTTGGACCTGGCGTTCGTCCATAATTGCTTGGATTGTAAGTGGCCTGGTAGCTTTGATTGGCGGACTGAGGCATGTAGTTTGCCGGAGGGATATTGGTCTGAAGAGGAGGCGGGGAACTTGGGACCTGGTACTGTCCTGCAAAGTTCGTTTGAGGATACCTTGGTTCTGAATTCGAGAAGGACAGAGGTGTTGGTACAGGCCGGGATGGATTAGACGGTTTTGGTGGTGAAGAAGGCGATGCCATCGACATTCTATCCATTAGTCCCCGGAGTCTCTCCTGCTCCAGCTCTGCTTGAGCGCTTTTATTCACAGCTCTCTCCTGTTCGATCTGATTCAAGAGCTGAGCTCCTTCAGATCGTCGATTGTTAACAAATGATTCGACATTCTTTTCCAAACTCTCGACAGTTTCCTTCATCTCAGTATACCAACGCTTTGCACTCTGTAAGCCCGCCTCGAGGTCCAGGAACTCCTGGTAAGCTCGCCTATATTTGCTAATGACGGTAGATCTTTGGCGCTGAATTGACTCGTATTTGCTTTGCTCGGCTCTGACACGTTTGTCCTGAAGGAGGCTATTGAATGTAGCTGTCAATTCCTTCATGAGAGCTGACTGCTTGTGATTAGCTGCCACTAGACGGGTCTGGTGGGGGCGGAATTTCTCGAGTTCAGACTGGAACAATTGGTTCTCGAAATTGGCGATCGACTTCTTATTCAGAATCAGAATTTCTGAAATGTCATCATTGTGAACCTAGCAAAGTTAACAGACGTCAAGGAGTTCGAGAGGCGCAAAAGGCGTACCTTTTCTTTAAGATCCTTGAGAACTTGGTTGCGTTCCCTCTTGATCAGATTCAACTTCTTCAAGATCTCCTCAACCTTCCTAATTTGTTCCATCACGCTAGGGCCATTGTCATCGAAGTCCGCATCAAGAAGATTTGGCTGTTCCACTGCTGGGCTCCCGATGTTACTCGACTTGGCCTTAACTTTGCTCACAGCGCTCTGGAATAAACCGTCCACGTCACCGTTCTGGGCTGCCGAGCGCATTTCCTCGAACTCGCCCTGACTTTGACGGAATTTTGCAGCTAATTGGCCGTCACTTCGCGAAGCTTCATCCAACGCCTCGCGATAATTTCGAATGTCACTCCTCAATGTTGTCGTTAACCTTGAGCTAGGCTGTTGTGTCCACTCGCCTTCGTATTTCGACCGCATCTTCTCACAGACACTTTCCTCCATATCCAACTGTTTCGAGCTCCTATCCAAGATGGAAATGATAGCATCCTTTTCTATCCGGAGAGTGTCGAAAATGGAGATGGGGTTCTCGTGTCCTGCAACATCATCGCACCACGTCCTGAAGTCCTCGTCTGGTAGGATGTCTGAATCGAATCCTCCTTTCAAGACTTGTAGTGCACCTGGAAGTCGCAAGTAATCAAGACTCGCAGCCATCTCGCTGTTCGCAAGATCTACCCGCTCTGTCTCTGCTCTAACCAACTTGGCCTTCTCTTCGTCGTAAAGACTTGCAGATTCCGTAACAGCCAATGGCACAATCTTGGCGAATAAGTCTGGCCCCGTTATGCGCTCGATATCTTGTCCTGCGTAAAGATCTTTCACCGGGATGGGCTTTGCAGCAGGTAACTTTGCTACTGGAGCAACACTTGCCTCTGCCGGGACTGTCTGATGATAGATGTAATCGTTGTCCTTCGACAGCTCTTTCAACTTATCTTGAACGGTGGAGAGATGTCGTTTGGTGACATCGCTTAGTATAGTGCCACAATCCGCTTGAAGATTCGAGCTCGGGGGCATGGAACCGGGAAAGTTGTTAGCCACCCTGTTGGCCTCCTTTGCCAATTTCTCGGCCAACTGAAGTCTTGCAACGGCTGTTCCATGGGAATTTGCATCGTCATCAGCAAGGGCTTGAAAATACTGGGCCATAGAATTTAGTAGGTTTGCCTTGACCTTTTCCATATGTTAGCGCGCATCTCAAGAGACAAGACAGGACTGTACGTACTTGGACCATTGAAAGCCATACTTTCTCAAAAATAGCCCGGTTCACATTGTCTTGGACACCTTCAACGGCTTGGGTATAAAGCGAGCCCGCCTGGCTGGCTAACTTGGCAAGCAAGCCCACCTTCTTTTGATCTACTATTTGCTTCTCAAGAAACACCTCCTGGGCTTGGGCCAGTGTAATGCTGATCAGTGTCTTAACAGTGTCGCGGCTAAGATCTGAGGAAGGTGCGTGCAGGAAGTTCTCATTGATATAGGTGAACATGCCGGCCGACGCCTGGAACGAGTGGTAGGCAGTCTTTAGGCCGCCTTCTTCTGACCGTGTTTGATTTGCGGCATGACATGACAAGACGGCAGCGATGTTAAATATGATAGACGCTTTTTCAAAAGCTAAGGAATATTGCGCTGTCGGCTTATGAGTGAAGGCATCAAACCTAATCATACTGTCAGTTCGTCTTTCGGTACAGAGCAATGACCGAGTATACGGACCACGTAAAAGATATTTTGATGTGTTGTTCGTCGATAGGGAAGCGCAGGTCCAATAACTCAAGCTGACCATAGTACCGATATAAAAGGTCTCGTCCAGCGGTGCTGTCTTTCCCGGCCCCTCTCATGTCCTGACGCAGGCGATTCAGGGTCGCACATTCTTCTGCATATCTTTCCGGGTCGTCACCGTATGTATTCTGTATGTAAGACTTGAGCGGCGCAACCCAGTCGATCTCATTGGTAGCCTTCAGAGGCACCGAGATCATGGGTGACTGTGTCATGTTCCTGCCTTTCCTACAGTGAGGGATGACAGTTCCTCACGTCCGACAACGTTTCACGGATACGGTCTTTCTTCGTGATGCGCCTATCGTACTGCTGCCAAACGGACCCGGGTAGCTGACGAGGTGTGATGGCGGAGGGCCGGCGTAGGGAACGGCGTAATCGTACGGATCAGGCGAATGGTTGTAAGATATGGCGTGGGTATAGGCGACTGCGAGCTTGCTTTCACTCTACAGCTGTAGCAGTCGAGATTTGGAGACAGCTGCCAGTGAGTGCATAGTGTGACGTGGACCTTAGCGAGGATGTCTGTCTGGTGAGGCGAGTTGATGGCAGATTGTCGTCGCGAGTTAAGGAACCCGCGCGGGGTAGTAGTTTCGGGATCACAATACGTCGGCGCAGGAGAGAAGGACGGTCGGAAGATTCTTCGAAATCGTCATATGCATTCACGCGACGTGTTGAAGGTAAGGCAGAGGCGGTCGTGCTGTAGCCGCCGAGAGCTGTAGCCGCTGATAATGAACGAGGTGTAAGGTAGGTAGGTCGATACCGTAAGTAGGCAGGTACCTGGCGAGCAAAGCGGGGCAGGGTTTGTGACGTGGGTTGGTCGTTAATGGTACTGGCAAGGTTGGGCGGTCATGCGCTAAAACTTGGGTACAAAGACCGATGGCAATTGAAGCGGCCTGTTTAAATCAAAGTACCTTGCACCGAAGAAATCCAGACTCTCCATCATGCTTAACAAATATCAGCGCGGCCTGGGTCCTCGTCAAGTCAAGTACCGAGAGAGGTGAACCGAATTAGCCGCCAGGCCAAATACTTCAATGACTGAGATTGAAGATACGACTACCCCGGCCTCTGCCCTGTCAGCCATCGCTCTGATTCGACAGGACGGCCTGCACTTGTACATCGTTCAGATGCGTACTCATCCTTGATCTTTGGTGCCTGACCCTTCTACTTATCAACTCGATGGAAAGACCTGCGAAACGATGCGAGGAAGCCACACGTGCGATGCGATATGCAGGCACAGTATCCCAGTGGGAAAGTTGCACTCCCGAATGGACTGTTTGCTGAGCTTCAGTCAATTACCACTGCAACTGAATGCCTATGGATCTCTTAACTGGCGGACACTTGCACATCCTCGTCGAGCTTATGCAGGTTGTCGTGACGGTGACAGCCAATGAGAGACTTGGCTACCCCAATATCATCCCTTGTAGGGCGTGATTGGTTGGGGTCCAGGTCCATTGGACGGGGACAGCCTTGTGAGACTATCAAACTACCCAGGATTGTGACTTGCGGCCCGTTGCCGCTGGTCTCTGAAATGGCCGTTGAGCTTGTGTTCCTTAGATCGCCGCGATAATGAATGCCGCTCAGTAGTAAAATTCACTTCCATCTATTAGTCGCAAGATTCGAAACCCTACGTCAGACGTAAACGAGGCATTCTGATATGCAAGGCCGATATTGCGGCCTCCTCTATAGCTGCATGTAGGGAAGTGGCACAGAACTCGCATCTGTCTGTATAGCTTTCCATTGAATGAATAGAAACCAAATGGTGTACCATCTTCGTCATTTCTTGAGGCTGTCAAAGCACAAGAGGAACGACAGTATCGATCAATAATCCCAATGGTCATTTTATTGAGCTCGACTTTGAAGGTGACCATAAATGGAAAACTGGGTTTCAAAAATATGGAAATTCAACAAGAACTTCACATAACCCTTCCTTCTTGTGGAAGACCTCCCTTGTGAGTCGTGACTGCCAACGCAGATAGGAACATTACACAGGCGGTTCTTTCTAATTCTGACAAGATCGGGCTTTCTTCAAGGCTTGCTCCTGCCTCCTACCCCGGCTTCGGCTGTTTCCTGGAGAACAGAGGCCAGAACAACAAAAAGCAATATTGCCTTAAACGCGGCGGATCATCGCCTTGTCTGATAAGACGATAGAATCTCAGCACAAGATCCTGGTTTGATCAGGCCATTACCCTCCATCGTTTCAGGTTTCTATCCTTCGTCTCTGAAGACTCATGTCTTCCTCGGGTCTTGACTTTGACTTGGACCGGCCTGAGCAAGACAAAATCTCCGCTCTCAGCAAATAGAGCCTACCTACGTCTAAGTTCCGCCGTATCTGCCTAGGTGGCGCTAGTCGAACGCCTAATTATCTCCCATCGTCTGGTCGAGTCCTAGCAGTTAAAAAGAGACTACAATGGGCTGGGACTTCGAGTGCTGGTCTTGTGATAAGACGTTTCCGGCGGGCTGGAAAGCGCGAGAGCAGCATTGTGATGTAACAGGTCACTTACGCCCACCACTCGAGTGTGATTGCTGTCCCAAGTGGTTTAGCACTGAGGCAGCTCGTCATCAACACATGAGCACGGTCAATCATTTCAAGGATGTCTGTCACTATGGTGACTGCAGGGAGTCATGGCCTTCCGATCAGATGGCCTGTGATCACGAGATCAACGACCACCATTACTGCCGTGATTGCGATCGGACCTTCATGAACCTCAACAACATCAGAATGGTACGATAGCAATTGCGTTTTCCTGCGAACAACACTAACCCTGATCTAGCACCTGAAATCTCGTGCTCACCTTGGCCAGACCATCGGCTGTCCGTTTTGCTCGAAAGCTTTCACAACAGCAACTGGACTCATTCATCACCTCGAGAACGGGGCTTGCCCTCAAGCCTCCCATATTGACCGTGACTCGATCTACAGATTCGTCAGACTCAAGGATCCTGGTGGACTGATTTCGAAAAACATTATTGGATGGACTGGCTCCGAGCAGTACGAAGCGTCAAAAAAGGCTTGGAATGGCTATGGCTATGAATGCCGTCTTTGCCATCGCGAATTCAAAGCGCTCAACAGCCTGAACCAACATCTCAACTCGCCAGTCCGTAAGTTCTGCCCCTTTTCGAAACTCGGGTGTTAATCCAGATTTGAAGATTTTGGGATGGTCAACTGACTATCGTTTTAGACCAACAGAACTTGTATCATTGTCCTAATGCTGGTTGTCGCCAAGATTTCAAGAACCTGGCTGGTATCATTAATCACCTGGAGAGCGAGAGCTGTGGTTTCACTCGCTTTGATAATGTCTAGCGAGGCATTTATAGCATGGTTAATAGCAACCGGATGCTTACTTTCTAAACTAGGATGGCGTTGGATGCAAACTTATTGTGCAATGCTGTCCGTTTTTCTTCTTTCTGAGAAGCCTGGAGTTCGTGAACTCGGATATTCATGTAGGAGGTCCTCGGTCTAGGTTTCTATTTATGAACGGGACTTGTATTTGTAGATGAACATGGCCTTTCGCTTGTTCTGGAGTTCTCTATTGCAATGAAGATTTCTAGCGAACCGGCACATTGCTTTCCTGTTGATGGGGATGGAACTTAATGCAGAGCACCTGTAGTAGCAGCAACTTTGATTCTTTATTTTTTCAAATTCACTCCGAGCACATGGAATAGGCAAGACGGTGGTTGTGGCTCTTCAGTAAATTTGTTTACGATGTTGCCTCTTCGGAAAGGAACTAATGATCACACTCTAAAGAGCTAGCACCCGGCATTGCCAGTGGCCTCAGGATTGTGGGGTAGCATCAGCGGTGAAGGAGAGCTAAAACAGGTCATTAGGTTGATCTCTCAGATTCCTAAGTTTCACCAGCCAGCATGACAACTACCAGGCCGGTAGAGATGTGGCGAAAGAAGCTTGGAAGTGCGGGAGAAGATAACTCGGAACCAACTCTCTGGTGTCGTCGCTACCCAATGGCATTTCCCGGAGTGCGCCAGGTGCGGTATCGCGAGAGACCCGTAGTATCATTATGTACAGGACAGCAAAGTACCTTAGCTCAATAATTCTCTTGAATACGGAAGGCGATAAGGCAAACTGTGCCAAAATCATTTTTT